ACATGAATTTATTATTTATAGCTTCACACACAATCAAAGGTTAAACATTTTGGCTTAATATTAAGGATGATTTACATTAACGCGGGAATTGAATTACGCTTAAAATTAGAATTAGAATTATTCTAGACTTGGATGAAGAATTTGAAAAGTGCACGCAACACGTGAAAGCTTAAGGTCAAAAGGCTTACATGTCCTCGGAGGTACTCTGGATCCGGACTCGCGACTCTAAGACTGTTACTTAAAAGAACGACTCTTAACGACTGCCTCTATTTTTGTGCCCTGAGGGCAAATCTTAAGGGCGTCCCCTTCCATCGTTACTCCGCTGAGGCAAGCGTGGTGGGGAAGACGTCAGGTACGGTCCTGGCGGTCTCATGTACTACGCCAATTTACAGGAAGCGAAAATTCTGAACAAAAATTTAACAATGCCGCAGACGTGACATAGGCTGCGTCTACTGTGGCAACGTGACGTTGTCACATTGCGCCGAAACTCCCATGACTGTATCGCATATTCTATTTTAAAAAATCCCATGACGTGATCTGGCCGTATTGCCTCCGGAGGCTTTTGGGAGGCAGAAGCCATTAATTAAGAAGAAGAAGAAGAAGAATCCGGAATGTCTGATATAGCCGACATAACAAAACGAGTACTAACAAATGCCAATTTGAAAAGTTTCGTTTTCACTTGGTATTTATAATGTCGATGTAGGAGATTTATTGACAAAAATATATGTTGACATTCAGATTATACAGTTGAAGAAAAGATTCCGTGACATAAGAAGAGAGAAATAACGATAATTTCTGAACAACATCAGTTTCAAGATACACATATAAGTACGATAAAATAAAACTGGTAATTACGGAGATGACGGCCGACCTCACCGATTTTAATGAAATTAGGCTCATTCGATGCGTTTTTGCATGAAACGAACGAATCTGGCAGAAATAAGCGTCGCTCTGCCCCGCGAACCGAGATATTTAGCGTTAAAGTTCACGACCGTTCAGGTTAGGAAATCTGTCATACCGACTCGATATAAGCGCTATGAGTATGCCTTTTCATGCTCTGTGACTTAATGCGCATGCGTTTAGCGATTCTTGGGTCCAATAGTGCACGAAATTTAAAATCAAATTAAAAAATGAATTAGTTACTCGTGCAATGTTTCTATTATACATAGTTGTATTCCAAATAAATCATAACATATGTGGACAGTGGAGTGTGTAGACAGTAATGCTTGGGTTCGGGGCGGC